TGTGTGTGTGTGTGTGTGTGTGTGTGTGTGCCTGTGTGATTGCGTGAGCGCGTGCGTGTGTTTGCGCGCACGCGCCTTCGTGCATTGCGTTTGTGCGTGCGTACGTTTGTGCGTGCGTGCGTTCGTGCGCACATAAAAGGTCACACAATATTATGGATTATATATATTCGTACCTCTGTCCTCGCTCACTCGCAGGGATGGGTATGTTAGCCGCTGCGTTCCCCGACGACAAGGAAAGAGGAAACGCAATGGGCATCGCGCTAGGTGGCCTCGCTATGGGAGTCCTCATCGGTCCACCGTACGGAGCCTTCATGTACGAGTGGGTAGGCAAAGAAGCTCCCTTCCTCATTCTGGCGACAGTGTCACTGCTGGACGGAGGTATATACAACTAAAACAACGTGGTCGGCTTTGGTTTGGGGGGAAGGGGTCGTTGATTATATTATCGGGATTGTATAGTATTTATCAACTGCTAAGTGCAAGACTGATTGTAATGTACTTATTTTATTACCTTTCTTAATTGAATTGGTGACATTATTTACTTTTTCAATCACGACAAAACCTTCTCTTCACCGCAATGTGAGCGATCGAGAAAATGCGTACGAAGCGACTTGCGCGCCGTCTACCGCCAACGTTCGACGGTTTTCGAGTGCGATGTTGCGCGATAGTTGACTTCCATGTTGCGCTTCGTTGCAGCCTTGCAGCTGCTCGTTCTGAAGCCGTGCGTGAGGCGAGGTGAGATGCAGGGCGCTTCACTGAAGGAGCTGCTGAAGGATCCTTACATACTCATAGCTGCGGGCGCCATCACGTTCGCCAACATGGGCATAGCTATGATGGAGCCTTCCCTCCCGATTTGGATGATGGACACAATGCACTCGGAAAAATGGGAACTCGGTAAACATCACGAGGCCGAACACCGCCCCTCAAAACATTTTATTATCTACCCACTGCAATACACATAACCCCGTTGAAAGCGAATCAATTTAGTATTTACTTGCGATCGTATAATTTGGAATTTGGATTTTAGATTTTGAATAGGGAGTCGTGATCTTGTCATGGTACGTTCGACTAAGCAAAACAGTACAAATAAAATCGAATACAGTACGAATGTTATTTGCTAAGTACCTTCTACAAAGTATCTACTAAATATCGTGTAATAAAAACTACCAAATATTACCTAAATAACTTGTTCTAAATATCTACTAAATGCCATGTATACTAAATTTATACTAAATACCTTGTAATAAATATCTACTAAATACTAATGGTAAATCATGTAGTAAATATACCTTGTAATAAATATCTCGTAAATATGTTATGCTAAATTTCTGCTACATATTTGTACTAATTATCTGGTATATATCTTGGCATAATGACGTCAAATTAAAACCAATTAACATTCAATCGTTGCGTCATTACAGGTGTAGCGTTTCTACCAGCAAGTATCTTGTACTTGATCGGTACAAATATATTTGGTCCTCTAGCTCACAAGATGGGCAGGTAGGTATATCTTACTACGCGAGCATAGAACGATAAACTATACGCTACTATGCTATTCGTCTCGTGCCCGGTATCTAGTATAGCCGACATGTGATTTTACTTTAGCCAAAATTAACGCGATAGCATCGGGCGTAAAATGTCATGCCGGTCTAATAAATTTGTGCTTTATCGTCTCCCAGGTGGCGTTGCTCACTGATAGGAATGCTTGCGATCGGCATATGTCTAATGTTTGTAAGTATAGGCGTACTATGCAACGCTTCCGCTCTAACGCGTAAACGATCCTTGGATTTGACGCAAATTCTGCAACTCGCTGCTGTTGTTACCACAGAGACTGGGGTTTAATAAACTATAATTGGCGCTTTGACCCTTTTCGAGCGTGCAATTCGTCATGCATACGCTAAAAACTAACGCGAAAGCTACATTTATTTTCGCTTAACATCCATTTAGGTACCACAGGCGCGTCAACTTGCGCATTTAATACCGCCGAACGCTGGACTGGGTTTGGCCATAGGTAATTCCGTCATTTTATTTTTTAAATATTTAATTATCTACATACGATAATTATCTTTGTGTGTAATATAGCATTTGCCCTCTAGCAAAATATTTGACTATAATGATTTGGTATTCGCATGCGCCTAGAATCTCTCCGTAATAACGCCTACTAATCATGTATATGTAAATCGTTATTACACCAACTTTCACTTATTTACTCCTCCGCTCACGTACACGGTTATTGCACTCGCGTTACAGGTATGGTAGATTCCGCAATGATGCCAACGATGGGCTATTTGGTTGATATTCGACATGTCGCTGTCTATGGAAGTGTGTATGCCATAGCTGATGCCGCCTTCTGCGTTGGATTTGCAGTCGGTGGGTGTACGAAAATAGCAGTTACTTATTTGTAGCATTCGGGTACATTTTATCCGCTACACGTTACTATACAACCACAGTTTCAATAGTTTCATAGATTCAACCCCCTATAATTGTATTTAGCGTATAATGTGCGAGTTATCATTCTATTTAGGCTGAGACTATGGTTTGAAAAGTAGACATATTTGAAATCATTTTGCGCAAAATTACGCTCACTTCACCGGTAACTTGTATTACGGATACAATATATTACCAAACATATATAATATATATATGTGTAGTATTACCAACACCGAGAAGTAGAACCGAATACAAACGCGTTAATGACACGTTATCCCTACTAAGCAATCATATTTTATTCTCCTACCCTCGCGGCGGTAATATTATCCCTTTATATCATGCCCTGTAGGCGACAATATTATGAAACGTATATATATATATATATATATATATATATATATCAGGAGCGTATAATGACAAATACAATAATGATATAATGATAAATTTTTCATTATACGCTCCTGATATATATATATCAAGAGTACATAATGGGAGACATAAAGGGGGCACATAAAGGAGAGTGCATAATCTCCTATTATGTACTCTTGATATATATATATATATATATATATATATATATATATTGTGGCAGTTTATATCGTAATCTGAAAACCGGTTTATATTAGTACCAGTCTATAGTACCAGTTATATTATGTAGTACATTATCCCTACTAAGGAATAATATTTTATTGTCCTATACCCTCTCGGTGGTCATATTATCCATTTACATATCATGCCCTCTAGGTGACAATTCTATGAAACCTATATATACATGTATATTGGTGGCTATTATATATAATATATCGTAATCTGAAAACTGGTTTATATAGTACCAGTTTATAGTACCAGTTATATGTAGGAAGTTATCCCTATACTAAGCAATCATATATTATCCATTTATATCATGCCCTCGACTCATGGCGACAATATTATGAAACGTTTATATATATATATATATATATATATATATATAGATATATAGATATCATAATCTGAAAACTGGTTTTCGTCATTTAGCAGCGTTATCATTATTTTAATTCGGAGTACCATTGAAACAACAGGTCCAGCTCTGAGTGGAACGATAGTCCGAACGTTGGGATTTGACTGGATGCTGTACGGAATAGCAATAGTTAACATCATTTACTCGCCACTGATGTTTTTCCTCAAAGATCCAAAACCGAACGAAGAGAAGGCGGTGAGTTGTGGGTCCTATACGCTCTCATGTTAGCCGACATGTGCGAATAGTTCTACGTAATAACAACACATACACAATAAAATGAATAGGCTATTTTTGGAGGATTGCTAGGATTTTACTATACTGTCATAAGCGTACTACTAGTGCACGCGGGCGTTTTATTCGAAGGTGTTGTTGTCGCCATTGTGAGATGAGAAGATAATTTTGTTAGGGACTGAAATCTCAATCGCGGAGACAATGATCTCTTAGTGCGCAACGTATCTCATTGCGGTAATAGTGAAGAAACTAGCCTATATAGTTGCTATATTAGTTAGCTGCTATTATATATCTAGATTATATAGTCTATATAGTTGCTATTTTAGTTAACTGCTATTATATATCTAGATTATATAGCTTATATAGCTGTTATTTTAGCTAGCTGCTATTATATATCTAGATTATATAGCTTGTTATAACCACTGCATTATGTGCCATCTAGGCTCCTACGAGGGATAACATAGCTGCTACTTTCCTTCTGCAGGCGTTAATCATAAACGAGGAGTGTCCGGTGAAGTATGTGACGTACAATCAGACGAACGGTGGCCACTTCTCGGACGGGGAGGACGACTGGTGACAGGGCGCTGCTCGGCGTTAGGCGCGAAGCAATTGTAGAAAATATATATTTATCATATAAAGCATATAATATAGAAGCATTCGGTGGCTTTATAGTTGTAGAAATGGGACGTGAATAACACAAGCTGCATGCGATATCGAGCGCGGTGCCGCTATAGATGCCCGCAGCAGCTTACAGGCCGTTTTGCGTATATAGGCAGTGTTGTGCCAGAACCGGAAACGTCTGCCTGATATATAATATGCGCAGATAGAATATTCGTTGTTATCGTAACAAGAATTTGACATTGAGAGACATTCAGCCGACCATCCATCAGCATGTGTTAAAGTTCTCAAGCGCTGTGTGTCTCAAAAGATGAATGGACTTATGCAATATATGAAACAGTATATATAAATATATAGGCCTGCTCGCAATTAATGTTCAGTATCGTACATCATCGAATATATGTATATATTTTTGCGTGAATAGTTACAGTATAAGAATAAGTGTATATGCGTAACAGAATAATCTTAGCTGACTCATACATTTCAGCTTGTGACCAAATACGTTTCGTTTAAAAACGAGCCGACAAGATATGGCCCTTTAGAGCATAATGACGGGTGCATGCTAGCACGAGGTGCATATTTTCAAATAATCCTTCTGGTCACGGTATTCCTGTCACGGAAATGTATCAGGCTACGTGGCCGAGGTTCGTCAAACGCTGTCTTTAAAAAAAACCGAGCATTAGTCGCAGTTACATTTTTCCGTTTACCTTTAAACACGTTACTTACACGTGTATCCGAGAATAACTTAACGTCGCTCTATGTCTACCACATCATAGCTAGCTGTCCTAACTGTTAGAATGTTTTTTAACAATTACTGGATACTGCGTAGTTGCGATTGGTCAGAAAATGCGTTATTTTATTATGGTCAGATATTGCGGCAGCAATACTGCCTAGCATATATTCAACATAATCTTGAACACTTTCCCTGGAGTTATAACACCTCCCTAGTTGGAACACGTCCAAATAGTGCATCTTCCTATACAGGAAAAGCGATATAGATCAATGAAATATGTGTCATGTACGTAAGCAAGCGCAATAGATATCCATGGCTAATCATCTACTATATTTTAGAATGCCGATTCGTGCAGTAATAATAATGTTATATAGATTATAGTTAGCTAGTTGTGTCTTCCTGCTGCGTGTATACAGTTCTGTACTCAGCATGAATCGGTAGGCTTGATGTTAGACATGTAAGGGCGCGGCGTGTTCGCGGCGACTGTTAACTCGCTACGTCTATCTATCTCCAAAATCGCGCATGCGCAGTGGAGACGATATGCTACGTGTTGCAGACGCATTCATGTGCATAGTAAAACCTATAGTCGCGATTTAATCAGAAAAGGTTGTGCAGTTGTGAGGTGTGCGGCGATTATATCTGCATATATAAGCCGTTTTATTGGTATAGGTACCATAACCTGTATTGGATGGAAACAATACCCCCTATAAAGAATTCCGAACTGGCTTAATCCCAGCTGTGGAGATGGCTATTCTAGCTATACGCCCTTCTTAAACGTTGTGATCATGTCACGGATGCGACCTTCAACCACGACTAGCAATACTATCATAGTTACGGGTGCACTAGTAATTACCTTGCCCTTCCCGTGACCTGTAAAGGAGACGATGAATGATCGAATGGGTTACCATTTGCGTTCTCAATTCGAACACGTTTAGGATAGAGGCAATTAGTTTTTATTTCAACTCGTTCATTCTAATTCGTTTTCAACTACGATGGGACGTTAGTACTGCAATTCGAAGCTATGATTAATAAATGTACTATGAAATGCTCAATGGTTATAGAATCGATGGTCAAAAATTCGCCGAGAGGCACGCAGGAATAAATCCTGATCGAAACGGCGCGGGGTAGACTCCTTGATGCTCGGCTATGACAGAAAATGTTTGTTACTGCATTTCTGCATTTCTGCATTTCTGCCGAAACTTTAAGGCATGTCGGATTCACGGTTCGATTACATTCGGCAGCGCAGAAAGGTCCGCATAGAATGGTCAGCGTAGAGAGGTCAGCATAGAATGGTCAGCGTAGAGAGGTCAGCATAGAAAGGTCCGCATAGAATGGTCAACATAGAGAGGTCCGCATAGAATGGTCCGCAGAGAATGGTCAGCATAGAGAGGTCCGCATAGAATGGTCAGCATAGAAAGGTCAGCATAGAGAGGTCCGCATAGAATGGTCCGCATAGAATGGTCAGCATAGACAGGTCAGCATAGAATGGTCAGCATAGAGAGGTCCGCATAGAATAGTCAGCATAGAGAGGTCCGCATAGAATGGTCAGCATAGACAGGTCAGTATATAATGGTCAGCATAGAGAGGTCAGCATGGACAGGTCAGTATAGAAGGGTCAGCGTAGAAAGGGCAGCGTAGAAAGATCAGCACAGAAAGGTCAGCGTTGAAAGGTCAGTACAGAGAGGCCCGCATGGGTAGTATAGGATATTGTCGAACAAAGGAGGGCGGCACCACACTCTTGCGATAAAAATACACAATCAAAGGTACCCGCATTCAAGATAAAGGGGCGTATTCAAATTCGCAACATAATTGGACACTCGAGGCGTGAGTACCTTTGATGGGAGTGTCCACATAACCCTCGTCGAACATACCCGAAGTGAATGGCAAAGTAGAAAACCTCGCCAGCAAAATCCTGCCAAGCAGGATTTTATAGTCTGGGAAATCGCGTCAGATCTTGATAAATAGTTTAGTGAAAATAAGTTATTATATATGTGGTTAAATGCGTAATTACAGACATAAATAGCCCGCGGCAAGTCGCATTCTCCCGTAATGTTTTCTGCGGACCCGCCCTTGCCACCGGCCACGGAAAGGCGTACCCATCTCACGCACGTTCTGGAATGAAACAATAATTGATCGAGAATTGCCTGAGATCTGAGATCTGCCTTTTCGAATCGTTTCCCGCAAACAGTTTCTAAAAGAGCACTATAACTAAAAAAACGAAAGAAACGAAACGAAACGAAACGATAATGAAATAAACAAACACGATAACGAACACATAAGAACATAATAGAGCGACAGAAATATATTGTTAGTGTGTAGGCAGGCAGAGAAAAGAAGAATAAACAGTAAAGCAGTCGCGTAGGCGGTAGGCCCCTACACCTTGTATCGAGCTACTACACATCCGTGCCTGTGATTTGTATGAGATGTACTGATCTTCGCATACGAGCACTTCAGGGATTACACTATGTAGCAGTCGACAATAAGAAAAAGGCGCATGCATGTGCGTACACATTTACACGTGAAGTCGTGCACGTACGCATGCACACACACACACACACACACACACACACACACACACACACACACACACACACACACACACACACACACACACACACACACACACACACACACACACACACACACACACACACACACACACACACACACACACACACACACACACACACACACGCGCGCGTCCATACGCTCGCACGGGCGCACGTATGCCGACATGAAATTAATGTGCCATTATTCAGTACGCATTAGGCATAACTTATGCTTGTGTTATGCTAGGGTTGCACCTCGTGCCGCGTTCAGTTTGCCTGGGCCGATCTAGCTATATCGTTGAGATCGACTTATTAGTAACGTTGTACGTACAGGCAGGGACAGAAATTCGTAAGCATCGTATTTATGGAAGACCGTATATTGAGCCTTGTCTGGTGTATGGCCAATTCGAACGTCTGTCACTACGCGTTGATTCTAGAATAATGTACGCAAAACATCGCTAAATAAAGTTCTACGCGGTGAAATATTTACAGCAGCAAACCTTTCTTTTTGAGTTCTTTCTCTAGGTATTATGTATAGCGTTTATCGCAGTGAATTCAAACGCAAAAGTCACAGACATATGTCACACGCACGTTGATATAAGCTCTAGTTAATGCACCACCAAACCCTTCAACCAACTCAGCCTCACAACACCCGAGTACATTTTTACACCGAAAGAGAAAAACAACGCCGCTATTAGTATGCAGACGTAAGACGAAGCGAGTTTAATCTTAAGACATCTCATGTATACTCATCAACGGGTAACTATTTATTTAGCAAATTACAATTCCGTTGTCAGGCAATCGGTGCAGTACCTCGATGCCTGTTGCGATTGTTGTTTACTTTAACATTGCTCGTATCACCGTGTACAAAGGAACCAGGGCGTAGAAGGTGAAACCTGTACCGCCTCGGGCGCTATTCAGTCCCATCGACTTTGCGGTTGCACGCAGTGACATGGGTATGACCTTGTGCAGGCGAGAACTGGGAGGCGCTCCTCTACCATATAAGCACTGTCTCTGGCAACAGGTTTTCAGTCATGAACAGCGGAGTTACGAACACAACATCGGCTATGTTGAAGCTAGTGTGCATCTTCGCCGTGCTGGGTGAGTTTGTTTTATTCACCGCTAGGATCGATATGTGCAACATTATTAATCATTTTAGGTTTCGCTTAGGTTCACATCTTATCGATAGAGTTTGGTGAGAACGACAGAAGAAAATTCTTCTTTTCAATAATCTGCAAATATAGCAAATTCTGGTAGAAAATAGTAACTAAAAAGGCTTAGCTTTATGTCACATAATTCAATATAAACGCATAAGGAGAATAAAGAAAAGGGAAATGAGAATAGAGACTACATGGATGCATATGAACTCTATTAGAACCACATACGTATATTCATATATTCATTCGCACAACATGACACAATTTGAAATGAATGAGTGACTAAAGGTATTAAATCGCTTATCACATCTTGAATTAAATCAATGAATCAATTAATCCTTTTCGAGCGCTGAGTGACATTACATTCCTTATCGCTCAATTGTCTGTCGAAACCTTGACCACCCGACGAAGGTTGTCATATCTACGCATTAGACCCTCGCTGTTTGCAAGATCAACTGCCAAGTAACTCTAATAAGTAAACACGCGAACAATAGAAACCAGAGGCGTCGCCGCTAAGGTTAAATAGGACTAACAGACGTCGAGAACGTGCGCAGAACATATTTGTGCTATGGATTAAGACCCTCGCGGCTTAATTAGTGTTTGTATAGCTACGACTCTACACACATGTACATCTGTTATGATGACACATATCGTGTATTAGTTTCTCTTGTAGTAGTAGTACCTATCGTAGCAATGTAGGCTACCGTCGGTTTGAAATACCACTGAATTTAATTAGCACGGAATTAACAGTTACTAACAAACACACTTTATGCGCAGAAAGAATGAACCAGCAGATGCCTGTTATATTACGCAGTATAGTAGCAAGTAATTTTTTTCATATTTATTCAGGTAGGGTAACTGCGCCTTTATAAAGAGCCACGTACTTAATTGGAAAACCTTCCTTGTAATTCGTAATGGGTTTATTTCACTAACCTATACGGCCATCATCAAGTATGAATATATTATATATATATATATACATATAGGTAACTTTGGTAATCAATGCGTGCTGATGCCTAAGGTAAGCAGAATGTCTGTGTAGAGGTCATTATTCCGCTGAACAAAGGGTAGAAAGGCGTTGTCATTAAGCTCCCAAGTTTTTGAGTAGACCTGTTTTTGATCTATACACAGTTTCACTTTTACAAAACCGAATCGTAATTGATGCGGGTTCTAGTGATATTAATCGAAGGTCTGCAGGGCTAAAAGGCAGCCAAGGCCAAGACTCCACCCAGATAATATTTAAAAGCAGGTTCGTTGTGGCTGGTAGATTTTGACAACATACGAGAACAACAGCCCGAAGCGAAATCCTTTGCGTACGCGCACGCGTGTGCCTACATGTGTAGGAGGGAAGGGGCGTGTGCTTGAATGCGCGCGTGTGTTTGTGCATGTCTGTGTGGCTGCTTGCATGCGTGCCCGCGGATGGGTGTGAATGCGCGTGTGCGTGCGTATGGAAAGCATTTTGTTCAAAAACCTGGTTTATCGGTCGATAATGATAGTTTCGTCGATAAACTAGGTTTTTGGTTCGATAAACCAGGTTTTTGGTTCGATAAACCAGGCTTATCGACCAAAAACCTGGTTTATCGACTTTTTGAACAAAATGCTTTCCATATAAGCAGGTTTATCGAAATAATCATAGTTCCTTTTTCGAAAAACCTGGTTTATCGGTCGATAATGATAGTTTCGTTGATAAACCAGGTTTTTGGTTCGATAAACCAGGTTTTTCGTCGATAAACCTGGTTTATCGGTCGATAATGATAGTTTTGTCGATAAACCAGGTTTTTGGTTCGATAAACCAGGTTTTTGGTTCGATAAACCAGGTTTTTGGTTCGATAAACCAGGTTTATCGACCAAAAACCTGCTTTATCGACTTTTTGAACAAAATGCTTTTCATATAAGCATGCGCGTGTGTTTGATTTCCTGCGGATAGCCAGGCGGGCAGGCGTACCCGTGTGTGTTTGCGCGCATGTCAGTGCATGCATGCACGTGAGTTTGATATAACGACTCTCATTACTAATATATTAAAAATTTTCTTTTAGCCACTACTCTTGCAGTAGATGGCGACTTCGATATAGACATCGGAATACCACGCGCTAAAGGTACCTGTCAGTTCCGTTGCGTGTCCGACGGCAGTTGTCTTCTAGACTTTGCACAGACATGTGATGGCGTGGAAGACTGCCCTCAGGGGGAAGACGAAGACTGTGGTATGTCATTATTTCTCGCCTTCTTTAGTCAACGAAATTGGTACGTTTCGTGCCATTCGTCAAGAAGAAGCGAATAATCGCAAAATAATCGAATATAATAATTTTTAGTTTTGTTAGTTTAGTTTATCGTTTTGATTCGCATTCGCGAGGATAAACAATTAAGCAGGCGTTAGTTAGACGTTATATTGTGTTGAATTTAAAATATATGTGCGGGGTTTGTTGTTTCACTGTAGTCTACATTCACTACCATATATGCATCATATAATAGAATATGTTTTCTGTTTAAATCCAGGTTCACTCTGTGACCCGGAAACATGCCTGCTAAGAGACAACTGCCATTGTCTGAGCACCTCGCCACCTGGCGGCCTAGAACCAAAGGATGTTCCGCAGATGATCTTGATTAACACGGAGAACGAAATACCATACAGCGGTATCTTTTCTACGAGGTGCGATAGGGGCTAACATGAATACTTCAACTGAACATTTTAAAATTAAAATCTAATATATGTTGCCCGCATTGATAGCTCAACAGTATTACCTATTTATATAGCGTAGGTCTACATGAACATGATTAAATTTCGATCGAAATTACTAAAGTTCATGTTAATAAATATATTTAAGCAGACCGCTTGCTATTTTGGGTTCTTGTTACCGTTCTTGCTAGCAGAACCATCATTAGCATATATCGTCATCTATTCTGCAAATGTGTATTTTTTTACCAAAAACATTGGATTTGGGATTCTAATTGTGATTATAGACTAGAATTGAGAGTCTACACACAGGGGCGCATATTAAACGCAGTCGATTCGTTACTAGATCCACAGATAAGGATGGAAAAGCCATAAGAGTGCCACGCAAAAATCCAAATGGATGTCAGGCAACGGGCACTTTCTTCTTCCGTCACGAGTACACAAACTATGCTTACGTCAAGCAGGTTTACGCGAGAGGTCACGAGATCGGCTCGCTGTCGATTAGGTAAGAGACGGGATGCGCAGAGGGAAAGGGCGTTGTCATAGTGTCAGTTGAGTAAACAGACTCAAGGTCGAATTTTCAGCGTGACGACATATTTGTTTTTTCGAGCCACGCGCAACAACAAAAGTAGTAGCAATGAGATACGAATGTTACGGCTATAGCACACACACGCAATCACGCACACGCACGCACGAACCCACGCACGTACATACACACAGACATACGCACGCACACACACACGCGCGCGCGCGCACACACATACACACACGCGCGCACACACACGCGCGCAAACACACACACGCACAGGCACATACGCACACACACACACACACACACACACACACAC